CACACACACACACACAATCCCTTTTCATTTCTCACTGTCGAGAGGAAAGAGCTGGAGAAGCCCCAAAAAAAGGCTGTCAGGCTCCATCTGTGTACAGGCCTGGTTTGGAGTCCTGCTCCAAACGAAAGCACAGCTGACATCCTGTCCACAACGGACTTACACTGAGCAATTATCTTGCTTCTCTTGTCAAATACGAGGCTTGGGCATGCGGCCTCTCACTTCCCTCCCCTGTGGAGATAGCCAGGTTGAGCTCAGCTATATTCCCTCCCCCTCTGTGGCTGCCTGGTGTAGCTGTTTCACATTCCCAGTTGTCTCTGCAGCCTTGTGGTTTTTGGCTGCTCGTCACTCAGATGATCAGCTACATGGTTGCAGATGCTCATAACCTACATGAGGTTAAAATGTCGCGCTGCAGGGTGGGATGGATGACTGACGAAGGAGACGATTGCTAGTATGTGAGTTCACTGACCTTGATCTGTCCCCATTATCCTCTCTCATGCTTTTACTTTACCCCTGATCCTTCAGGCTCACACACAGCGTATAATTGCAGGTAATTGGATTCTTACTCAGTTACACAAATTGTGGAAATCATTATAAGCTCTACAGGGAATCCGGTTTTGATAACTAGTGCCTAAAAACCTCCTGGTGATGCAGACCTCTATTAGTGCGAGTCATGTTGCTTTGTAGTCAGGCCTTTGATGTGTCTGTGCAGAGATCGACTAGTGGTATCAGGCTGCTCTTAGCCCCAGAGGCTGGAGGTCAAAATGGAGACACTTATCCTGACCTTGAGCTCCGCACAGCCCTTTTTCTCTCCGGCTCTGGCTACTATCACAAACGCTGGCCACCGGAGGACAGTCAGATGCAGGAACCACATCGATCACAAAGCGCTTCATCTTCTCACATGACTTCCCCACAGCAGGGTTTAGAAAGAAAGAAGGGAGAGCCAATCACGCTCACTCAGATGCTCATGAGTGCATGTCCTCTGTCCTCCGATCCCTCTCTGTCTTCCTCTCGTGCACGCACACAATGACATTTAGCACTTAACCTCTTTCTGCCCCTCTTATTTCCCCCTTTTTGCTCTACAGCACAGCTTTCACCAGATTCTTCAGTCTCAAGAGAGTCATGTCTCTGCTCCAATACTGCACAGTGTTGTTATAAATTAATCTAAAAACCATTCACACTTGCTTCGTCAGTCGTTACAGAACATAAAGTGCGGTCTTTCTCCACTTTCTTTTTTCTTTATGACTCCTCACTCCATCTGCCGTTCTTCCTCTGTTTAAATCTTTTCATCGTATGTTCGCTCTGCAGATCCTCCCCCAACCACGGCGGCCCCCAGCACCACTGCATCCCTCTTCCACGACACCTCTGGAACCGGCACTGCCATGGAGAGGGGAGGCCTGTTCACCTCCCCGACGCTGGCCTCCTTACCTGACAGCAGCCTGGGTACTATAGTTGGCGGTGCTGTAGGCGGAGTTTTATTCCTGATTCTCCTGCTGATCCTCGGCGGGGCCTGCTTCATGCGACAGCGCCGGACCTTCAGAGGAGACTACTACACCAAACAGTACCTGGGACCCTCCGACATGCAGAAGGAGTCTCAGCTGGACGTCCTGCAGCCGCACGAGCTGCAGGAGGTCTACGGAGACAAGACGAGCAAAGGCAGCCAGGAGCTGAAACCCAAACTGGGGGGAGACATAATTTACCCCGACTACACCCCTGAACGCAAGGATAGGGATGACTGGGCCGACAGGGGGGATGGCCACAGGGGTCTCAAGGAGGGAAACTACTACCCAGATCACTACAACACCCAAAACATGCACCCCTGCGGGCCTCCTGTGCACAGCCCCATAGTGAACAACGGCTCCCCCTACCTGCCGGAGGACTGTTATGACAATGGTACAGACAGCGACTATGTGTCCCACATGGACGGATCTGTGATCTCACGCAGAGAGTGGTATGTTTGAGAAAAGGAGCAAAAAAACAAACAAAAAATGGACAAATGACTGAGAATAATTTAACAAATGACAGATATAAATATCATTAAAGGGTGTGTCATTTCAGTTAAAGGAGGAATACAATCTCAGCTCAGTTTCACAGTGAGCTCTCTGAACAATACTGCTCTGCCTTGATTGTAACCACTTAACCTTAAGGACGTGTATGTGGATTGTATTACACTTTTGTAGCATTTCGAGGAGCTACAGAAAAGCTGGAATGCCTCACTGATATTATCTGTGCAGGCTTAAGGGGCTTTGGCTTACAGTGAAGTTTCGACTGATGTGAATGAGGTTTTGTATTTTGCTTGTTTGTGTTTGCACCTGTCTTTAACAAAGGTCACAGGTCAGGTTTTCAGACTCTTGTTAGTAAAGTATTTATATCCCTGACTGGCTGAGTTCTGCTCCCATAAAACCTCACAACTTCTGTGGCATTTTGAAAAAAATGGTCTCTTGATTGCACAGCGTTTTCATACAGGTGAAGTGTTTATCATGGCTACAATCAGTATTTAAAGCAAATGATATTGCATGATTTTTTAAAAACAAAACAAAATGTATCATCAAGCTAAAGGGAAAGTCAGTCACGTGATTTAAAAGGGAGAATTACACAGACATTGTACTGAGGGAAAAGCAAGCTGGCTGACAGTAGTACATTACAAAAAAAACACTGCCCCTTGTAAACCTCTGTTTGAGTTCTACAGTGGTTTTTGCAAACTTTAAGTATCATCTGTAAATTATTCATGAAATGGAAAGCCTGTGATCTGAGAGTAAAGATGAGATGACAGCAGAGTAAAAGAGGTCTCTCCCTGTGGAAGTACTTATACTTTCAGCTTCAGTCCAGCTTTACAGATATCTCTGTTCCTACAGTTGTTATCCTTAAGATTTCAGTCCTGGTTGATGTGGCTTAATACTGCAGCAAACTCTCCCTGAACAGCTTTTTTGTTAGAAATACAAGTGGAGCAACTGGTCTATCTGTGTACAGTGCAACCATACAAACTGGCGAATAAAGAAAGTCAGTCATTAATAATTGCGACCACGATCTGATTAATGCGGCACGCGGCATGAGTAGGTTTGCACACAACAGCAGGGTACAGTAAAGCTGGTTAGCTTGCTGTGGAGTTGGAGGTGTTGGAGGTGTGCTGCCTGTCACCTGCACCTCCAAACACCTCATTGATTGCTGCTCCTTCTTGCTCCATAACTGGCCATCTACACTAACCACAGCGACAAATACTTTACATTTTTTGCGGGTGCCAGTTGAATGCTTTTAACGTGAAACAGCGGCAGTGGGAAACATTCGGTTTGCATTAGCAGTAACGTAATACAGCTCTGACACAGTGTAAAAGAATGCTAACAGTAAACAGTGAGCCTGATATCAAGATAAAATGCGCTGGAGTACATGCATGCATTGTTTAATTTGAATCCCTGTTCAGTAAGGCAATCAGATTCTAGTGTGGGAATGGCAGACTCCGCCACTCCCATTAAAATCTATAAAGATAAACTGAATGTGAATAATTTAAATGACTACAGTTGACCTTAGATGCTATGAAAAATGGGTTTATTGACTTAAAAAACTTAGAAAAATCTTAAGGATTATAACTTTAACCAAACACACTATTATCATTATTGAAAGTGTTAATCCAGTCACTTTCTTGCAGTGAAAAAGCACAACTCTGTTATTACAGTTGTCAGAACACATCAAAGGCAGCCAACCAGGCCTTGGCCTTCTCCACTTAGCCATGATAACAGGCTGCATTGCTGTCTTTTCCATTTTCCCTCCTCTGTATCCTCTGATTTCTGTCTGCACGACTAACACCAATTAGTCATTATATTTTTTTATTTTAAAACGTGGGATCAAAGTAATGTGTTATAAATACCAGATGTAACTATCACAGCTGTCATCATCTGACGTGATGTGGCTCCATGAACCACCGGCGCTTTCACTGCTCCCGCTCGCCACTCTACCGCCGTGATTCATGATGGTAAATAAACAGAATGCTTGTTGAAAAAGAGGTCAAAGAGCTCAGAGAAGGGAGCGGTAATAAAGTGATCCCTCAGCTTTAGTTTGTATGTGATTGAAGTATGATTGCGCGAATACCTCACAGAAGAGTTGGAAACACTGTGAGCGACTGACATCACTGCTGAGCGCAGAACAGGCTATAATGTTGGGGTTTGGCTCCTTAGCAGCTCCTCTAGGATATACAGCGATCATGGAAAGTAGAAATTTAATCCATGAGTGAAAAAATCGGTTTAAGAACCATCTAGGTTAGAGCTGTCTGTGTAATGGCTCCCCAAGGGATATATATTTTTCCTACAAACAACAAACCCAGTGACATTAAGTTGTAACAAAAGAGTTGACATCATCAGTGATCTCATCTCTCACTGCTTGATTTGACCTTACACTTTTCCACTTAGTGCTTCTTTTTTTTTCGTTTCCTCGGGAATGATACATGGATCAAAGAGGCCTCTGCAAAGCTTCACATGAAAGTGAAAGCATACCCCTTTTTGGAAAGATCCCCATTTAGTCAATCAGGGTGTTTGTTGCTAGAAGAAGGAACCATATATGTGTGTTACAGTCAGATCAGGACTTGGGGTTGGATATATTTTTTTTTTATTGGGGTTTTAATAGATTGTGGGTGGACAGTTTCTCTCTCTTTTTTTGTTTAACCCTTCTCCACCCTCACTTTCTCATGCCAGGGCTTTGGTCGAAGGTTTAGATGTCTGAGAATAAACTACTTTAATGTCGCTCTCACTCTCATCGTCGAACACACGCACCCAGCCGCCACACATCTGCCACTGCAGCCCACATTCAAAGAGCGGTCCTCGCCTCAAACCGGGAGCTTTTTAATCAACTGTTTCTTTCTCATCGCACTTGGCAAGTAAAGTGCTTCAACTCGTTGATATATAGCACATCCGTGTCTGCATGCACGCACATCTTTTTCTTTTAAACGTCTGATTCATTGCTGTCAACTTGTTTCTTATTTGGTAAAGTTGCTCAATGCAAACTGCTGTCTCTGCTCCAAAAATTTTCTTTTTTTTGTTTTGTTTCTGCTTCATCTCTAAAGACTGTTTGACAAACGCAAAATGAGCTGAAGTGATGAATGTTTTTGTAAAGTTCAGCTTTGGTCACTCACCACTCACTTTGCATGTAAATTAAGTTATTTGCTACCTACCAGGTTCATTATTTCTCATCACCAGTGTTTATTTACATGTACATAATGCTGATAGGGTTAGCGTAGGATTAGCCGTTTGATTTATGTGTTCATGTACAGTTTGTTCTGGACTCCCCTACTGAATAGTTGGTGCCTTAGATGGGCAGAGCAATGCACAGAAACTTTGAAAAGTGACAATTACTGAAAGCATTAATATAAAGGGTATTAATATCATTAAAGAGGAGGACTGACTGGTCCATAATAATGTCTTCCATCTGGATATTTAAGATTTGCTGTTACTGAAACATCAGATTAGACAAAAGGTTGATTGTCATTGCCTTATACACTTTGAAAGGACACATGTAACAAGTTGGTTACTGAGAAAATTGTAATAAGTAAAGTTTCACTGGGAATTTAGGCAAGCCAGATTCATTGAAAATATTATTGTCCTGTAAATATGCTGGCTGTTTTTTTTTTATTATTATTGAAAAAAAAAATCTTATTTTTTGTATGAGGTCTGTAATTTTCACAGAGTATTAGTTTATCTTACGAGCGTTCGAGGAGCTCTTGTCTCATGATAACATAGAGAACGATGCTGTTTTCACTGCATTTTATATTTGTTCTGGAGAGTTTCTGACCAATTATTTTGTATGTTGTTCTTTGAATGATTGATGTCTCGCAGGAATCAGAGATGAAAGTGCGGTAGATTGTATTTTGTTCCTTTGTTTGCAATAAAAGTCCATCATTATTGCACTCAAATGTGTCCTGGGATTCTGCTTTCAGAGAGGAGCTTTTTTATTTCCCTTTATTAAGTTCTTTAACTCGCATCAGCTTTTTTAGATGAATACTGTGTGAATATAGTATTTGGATTGCCCACATCCATATAGAGCTTTACCAATAGACACAGGGGAGGAAAAAATTACTGAAGCAATTTACTAAATAGTGCAGTACCCCTGCAGGTAACACCAATTTGATGAATAGCATGATTTTAAGTTAGTTGTTCCCAGTTGTCGTGGATTTGTGAGTGTTTAAATTTCATAGCGTATCACACAGTCTTCCTCAGGTCTGCTGAAAAACTGAAGGACAGCTATTTAATGGATCTTGAGGTGGGATGGTTTTGTCATTTGCTGTTTTCCGAGGTCAGGAGTGGACTTTCACTCACCAGTATGAACCAAAAACCGACGAGAAGTCCTTAAAAAGTGATCAGAAACAAAGTAATTCACATGGAAACTGGGCAAACTGAGGAAGGTGATGCGGTACAATCGAAAGCTCCAGAAACCACGGTGAGAAAATTCCACTTGCTACGTTTCTTTCAGCCGCACGCCATGCTCACCACCGCTGATAACCAACTGTTACCATGTGACCAAAGTTCCATGCTAAGGTCAGGATCTTCATGACAACCAAAAAGCAAATTTTCCTGCTGATGAAGCCAACGTGATGTGGCTGAAAGCTCTGGAAGAAATCTAGTGAGTTAGGATTGTTTGCATTTAGCCTTTTTTGGATGGCAGCAGAGAGCCAGAGGTCTGCGGCCGGACGTTGATGTTAACATGGATTACCTCCTAACCACTGCACCACACACTCATTATTTAAACTATTGATCAACTGATCGACAAATTGCACTCTTCATATATATATAAAGTGATGTGATAGATCTTTTATTTTGCTTTCTTTATTTGACCTGTCAGCGGTATGCAGTTAGCATATTTTTCTCTCTGAATTGGCCCCTGGTGATCAGTAGGGTCTCATCTTTTTTTTATTAAGTGTTCATTTAATTGCTTTAATCAAACTCCATGTCTTCCACCACCATCTCATCATTTTCATTCTTTCTTACTTAAACATACACAGTGTATCATGGGCTGAAGCTAAAAACTTCAAAAATATGGCAATTAGTTAGTAAGTAAAATGTGTGTGTGTATTTGCTATTGCTTTTCACAGACATAAGTCACGAAGGGCTTTGCAATGTACAACATAAAGAGGCACAATACATAATAAAATAAAAATTAAATAAATACAGAAAATGCAAATGTGGTGCATATAGGTCTAAAAAGGTATTTCTTTAGCTGCTTTTTGAAAGAATCTACATAATCCGTGAGGGTGTTTTAGTGGTCCTAGCCTCTTAAATATGAGCAATTGTTGCTTTTTTCCTGTTTTATATCATTTTAATTTTATTATCTTTGGGGTTTGGGGCTGCTGCACAGAAAAAAGAAGCAAACTAAATACACCACCATCAGATCTGGAAAACCTTTTTGAACTAAATGATTAACCAGTTAATCAGAAAATCACCAGTTTCACCAGTTTGTTAAAATAGGGTTTTAAGATTACATATGGCAACTTGCAGAGCTGCAAATATTTACCCTGCGATTTCTCTCCCATACGAGGTAAAGGTGTTTCTGTCTTTTAGGCCGGTGGCCATCAGTCTCTGTCACCTTCAGCCTCTCGCACTGTCCACACCTGTGATAGTAACTAACTGACCCATTTCACACAACTCTCCATCCTGTCTAACTCAGCACCCTCTTCATCACTGGTTCACAGAGTGAAGCGAGTGAGGCCGCCGCGTTTTAATGTCACACCTGCATCGACCAGGCAGGCCGCTGACCACCCACAGCTCCCTCCTGTCACCCATCAGTTCTAAGAGAGAGAGATTTGCCTCCTTAAATATTGTCAATTTATCACACTGAAATTATGCCCTCAAAACATTTACAAAGGAATTTAGAATGGAACCCCTAATCCAGGTCCTCCCACTCTTAAGTGCCTGTGTTTAATCCCCAGCGTTAACCTGGCTTTGGAGGTGACACAAGCACTATAAATATGTGTTGTTTAGCAAAGTGACAATCGTCCCCTCTGGTCCAGATTAAGACCTGGAGGAGAAACCAGATACTTAATCCTCTGTGGCATGTTGGACAGAAATCTCCCTTCTTGGACTTCACTTTCATCACTTCAGCGTCCACGTCGCCCCAGCCCAAAAGCACTCACTCTATTATCACGGTGTTGCCTGACTGGGATAACCCCGGCCTAATCCATCACTGCTACCATCTGCATGTTTGTGCAGGCAGTGTGGGTAAATAATGCTGTGTTGGTGGGCTTGGGTTACTTCTCCTTTTTCCTCCTTTTTTTTTTTTTGGCAGATGGCTGCGAGGGGCATTTTTTCACACTTAATGAATCCGTCAGCAAATGTGTTTAGTTTTGTTTCCCTCGTAAAACAGCGGGTCCTTTCTTAAAACATTCTTAAAGACCCCACCCAAAGAAGCTGCAGTGGAGAGCATCAAACTTTAACCTTTAGAAACTATTCTTGTAAAAATGCCTGTTTTTTTCCTTCTTCCTGCCAGTGTATCAGCAGTGTTGTTTTCTTTTGTTACCTTTCATGATTTATTAATTCAGACTGAAGAAAAGAGAGGTGGCCACTTTTGTTTTGTGCTCCTACCGTCCTCCTCCTCCTCCTCCACCTCCTCCTCCTCCTCCTCTGCAAAAACACTGATTGTTAGCTAATGAACACGAACGCAGCACCGGGGAGCTCACATCAAAGGCCACAGCTGACTGAGCTGAACAGACAAATTGTTTGAGCTCATGGGTTTGGAAATAATGAAATGCTGTAGAGGGTGGGAGAGTGCGAAGCAGTTACAACAAAAATGTTGTCACATGGCCTGCGGTCTCGCTGGCCCTTGTCTCGGTGTGAAGTGTGTGAGGCTACAGGGCAGCAGCCACCTGTGGCCGAGACAGTGGTGGCAAGTACCGGGGGAAAAAAAGTTAAATCTCTGGTCAGTTTCAGTCATGAGCAGTTAGTGTTGTCCCTCTATCCGACAGAATAATGAGAAGCATTTTTGTTATTATTATTTTGGGATTGAAACATCAACATTAAGCTGCTATATCAATATTTGCATGTTAACAATGATTAAAATGACTAATGTGAAAGGCTCATAGTGACGAACCCACAGAGAATTATCACCTGACTCTGCAGTTCCTCTCAGCTTTATCATCCTTTATAGTGTCTTTCAGCTCATTGTTTTGTTTTTTTATGGCTTAACATCTTCCACAGAAAAAAAGCTTTAAAAGCTGACTGTGCACTACCTGCTCAGCATCAAACAGCAGACAAAATTAGCAACAAGCTGGTGAACACAGTGGAGCATGTAGCTGCTAAAGAGGCAGATTTCTACCTCAGGAGTTGGTGGAGACCAAAAACAGAGTTAAAAGGAGAGCAACTACTGGACTTAATTATTATTGGACTGACACAAACACGACTCCAAATAAGTGATAATGTTGCTGGATGTGTAACTTTGCAACTTTTTGTTAACAAGTTAACCATGTGAACTTAAAAAGGTTGACATTGACATGATGTTGTGTTTACAACTTGTAAGGTATTGCAGGTTTAAGGATTTCAAACCTTAAAGTGCTTTTAAAATATCTGCAATTTCATGATGAAAACTGTGAATGCTCCATCTGCTGCAGAACATCGTGTTATACCATCAAACAGTACTAAAAGGACCTTGCATTGAAATTGTTCTGTCAACAGATGTTTTTTTTATCTGGCCTTGTTGGTTTTTCTTTCTTTGTTCTTAAATACTTAATATGCTATATATATTTTCCTAAACAAAGGCCACCCTAAACAAAAGTGCAAGTAAAGTAAATAAAGAAGCATTTTGAACAACCATTGTCACTAATAACATACAAAGTCCAAAAGATACAAACAAAAACAAATAGACAAGTAAACCTTCAATTTCTTCTTTCAAGGTTTGTGAAAAAAAAACAAAAGAAACATGTGGCCTCCGGTCTGTCTGTTTGCAGACTGCTACTGTTTCACTCTGCCTTTTGTGATGTACAAGCCACAAGTGTAGGTTTTCATTGTAATGTATAATAGAGCATTTAAATGATGCAGTATATCACCGACATGACAGTCAAATGCAGGCAGTCTGCTTTGTGCTGCAGTGTTGATCTCTAAAACCCTTCATGTAGGATTTTTTTTTTTTTACCATCACAGACAGAAAGTAAAGAATCATCTTTTTTCTGGTGTAAAATCTCACAGTAGCAAAATAGAAACACAGCTCTTATCTGAATAATGACATTTTTATAAACCCCCCTACATGTATCACCTTTAAGCAGTAAATTTTGACTTGTATAGATGTGCACTTCCGACAAAGACGAGAGGTTGGGCACCGTGACAAAACCCCCTTTGTGCAGCGACTCCTCTGAGACCGAGAGCAAAGACAATGAAGGTTTTCATCGATGAGCCGCATTGTTACTCTAGATTGCACTGAGGGCCATTCACAGATCAGATCCTGTGTGCTGTGTTCCCAGCTCGCTCTGCCACCGTGGAAAAGCTTGCTGCTCAGAAACAGTGTGAGCCTGCGTTTCTCTCTGCTGACTCAGAAAGTTTTCCAGAGACGGTTTAAAGAAAAGTACTGAGAGAAGCATATCTTATTGCACAATATGAAATTAAACTGGGATGATAGAGTGGTTTTCTCTGGGGCCTAATAAATAAGATATAAACATACAGATTTGGTAAGAAAATATCCATAGGATCATTCTTCCTTTTGGCAGAGTGACCATCTCTGCCGCCCACACGCACATCTAAAGACAAAAACACACACATGTTGGAGGGCAAGGGGCAGACAGTTATACGGTTTTACATATGAGACTAAGTTTTTCTTATGGATCAGCCTCTAATTGGGCTCATGGCATGCCACAGGCTCTGATCAGAATGGGTGGGCAGCCATCTTACTGGGCCGTGACAGGGAGACCCCTACATCCCCCTGCATTGT